AATTATATAATTTCGACCTCGTTATCACGAAAACAAATTAAGATAATACTGTAAGAGGCTCGCTACCTATAATCGACCCGGGCTTCGCGCAAATAAACTCAAGAATAAGCCTCGTTGTTACGTATATTAACGACAAAATACAACTCCATGGAGGCCGTCCTTTCGACGCAAAATTATATCAAACTCGCGACCCCTAAATCGACCCGGGAAATTATGTTACGCCCGACGTTTAAGTGGCACGGCCTCAGCGCTCAAAGGCTACCTGTGCCGCGCTCCAGTCCAGTCCGCGTCTCCACCTCCCGCGCAACGCTAAACGTTACCCCACCCCTCTCGAGACTCGCGTCTCGCAAGCTTCAAATGACACAACAATCGTGCGTAAACAATAATAATAATAATAATAAGGGGTGTAAGGGAGTCAAACGCGGGAACGACTCCAAGCCAACCTCACCTGCACGTGGTGCACCCTGCTGTCAACAAACGAGGCAATGGCGAACCGACCGATGGCGGTATACCCATCTAAGCGGCTACGTAAGGCTCTTAGGCACGAGTATCTTATCGAGGCTTAGGTAGTGCAACTGGCATTAGCGTGGGATGTCAGTTTTATGGCGGCGGCGGAGGAGTATCTTGTGTACCAACGGCGGCGCCCACAGGCTCAGTTAGGAAGTCTACTGCGACTCATCACTATTGGACAAACGTGGTGGGTTATTTTTGTCCAAAACAAAATTAGATATGAGTAAAAATAAGAAAAACATGCCCCTAGTGCCCGGCTTACGGGGCCAGATGAATCTCCGGGCGGGGATCTCTCGCAACTATCAAACGACCAATGCTAGTCTCTCGGACTCCGATGCTTCTGAATCGATTACTTCGTCAACAGCTACGGATGTTGTGCAGAAGGCAAACGCTGACAATTCTGCACCCGCCAAAGCTAGTAAACGTGCACGCAGGAAATGGAGTGAAGATATGAATATCTTTATACTGCGCACGTACCTTACTATCACATCTATGGAAACAAAAAACATTAGGTCATACCTTCCCCAACTTCATGCAAAATTTATAGAAAAATACCCAGACATAGATGTTAGCAGACAGCGAGTAGGTGACCAACGTAGGGCAATAACTAACGGTAAATTATTAACTGCTGAACAGTTTCAAGTAATACGTGAGGAAGTGAAAACCTACTTAGACAATAATCATAACAATGAGCACCCGCAAATTAATAATATAGTAACCAGTAACCAAAGAATGCATTGGGACAACGACTTAAATGAATTCATCGTAAAAAAGTTTCTACAGAATTACTAATGGTGGGACTAACAAAACTGCTTACAGACGTCCTCTACATCAATCTTTTATCACCAAATTCCCACATTTTTCTCACGTATCTGAGCAACGCGTAGCAGATCAATACAGAGCAATCATTAATAATAAACTATTAAGTGCAAGTAGGCTCCAAGAATTACAGGATGAAATTGCAATAGAGATGGCTACCCAGAATAAAACAGCAAATAACGACACAGAACCTGACATATTCTTACAAGATAATTATAGATTTGACTACATCCAACCCGCCACTCAGAATCTCGGGATGCATGAAAGCCTAATCTCACCAAGCAATACACAAATTTGCCCGGATACAATTACACCCACAGATTATAATGCAGAACAAGAAGACGAAAATAATGAAATTCAGCAAAATTACAACAAACTTATTGGGGACATACGAAATAAAATTGATGGGACATTTGCAATGCTTTTAAATAAATATAAAAACGTCGATCCTACGACTAGACCTAGCATACCTAAACAAAAAAATTCTAAAAAACTGGCGTGCATTGTACATTACATTAACCAATCGCTGCTTCCTGTCCATGTACCACCTGATTCAGACTTTTACACGATTCAAAATGCTATATACTGTGCAGCTGCTACTGTTTCAATTTATAATGGATACAAAATAATGGACCCTGAAAATAACTCCTCATATCAGAAAAAACGAACCCCTAAATGGCAAATGAGACTAGAAGACAGAATCTCAAATCTTAGAGTTAAAATAGGAAGACTAACGGAATATATAAATGGCAATACAAGCACTAAGCTCGAACGCGAAATAGAAAAAATTACAGCAGCTTATAAAATACACTCAATGCATGAACAAGAAAACAAGAAACTAGCGCATTTCCTAGACACCCTCAAACAAAAGCTTAGTTCACTTGCAAACCGACTACGAAGATATAAAGAAACCACTCTAAGAAAACAACAAAATGCAGCATTTTATAATAATGAAAGAATATTCTACAGAAACCTAACAAACGCACATGATATTACTGATAATAATAAACTAGTAGAAATACCTGAAACAGAACAGCTGCATCAATTTTGGTCCAATATATGGTCAAACCCCAAAACACACAGAGAAAGCGATTGGATTAAACAAGATAGGGAATTATTAGTAGATTTACCAGAAATGATGTTCAATGAAATAGACATGAATCTATTCAAATCAGTTATTAACAAAACACACAACTGGAAAGCGGCTGGAAGCGATAAAATCCATAATTATTGGTATAAAAAGTTTACTTCCTTACATCCGCTCTTACTGTCACACATCAACACTTTTATAAAAACACCAGAATCATTACCAAGCTACATTACACTAGGAACAACTTACATGATACCTAAAGACCGAAGTGACTCGAAAAATCCAGCCAAATACAGGCCAATTACTTGCCTCCAAAACATTTATAAGATCATTACGTCTTGTCTTAGCCAATTAATTTACAAGCACGCTATCTCTCATAATATATTAGCAGAACAACAGAAAGGATGCAGAAAAGCTAGTCTAGGTTGTAAAGAACAGTTGATAATTGACGCAATCGTCTCTAAACAAGCAGTCACCAAAAAAAGAAATATTTTCACCATGTTTATTGACTACAAAAAAAGCATTTGACTCAGTACCCCATAGCTGGCTAATATACATTTTAGAACATTATAAAATTCATCACAAAATTAGAGAATTCTTGAAAAATACAATGCTTCATTGGAGAACTACTCTCAAGCTATACAATGGTGACTCCTGTTTAGAGACTGATACAATAACAATCCGAAGGGGAATTTTTCAGGGTGACGCCTTAAGCCCTCTCTGGTTCTGTCTGGCTTTAAATCCTTTATCTAACCTTCTCAATAGAAATGACAAGGGGTATAAAATCACTAACGGAAATACACATCATACACTATCACATTTACTTTATATGGGTGACATAAAATTGTATGGGAGTAGTTTAAAAGATTTACTTACTCTTGCTGACATAACGGAAAGCTTCTCAACTGATATTCAAATGGAATTAGGAATAAATAAATGTAGGATACAATCAATTCGTAGAGGCAAAGTAGAACAAAATTCGTATACTCTCCAGACAGGTGAAACCATTGAACCTGTAGATGAAAACGCTGGTTATAAATATCTAGGATTTACTCAGACACGACAGATTCACCAAAAACACGTTAAAAAAACATTAGAAAAAGAATTTAAATTACGCCTAAATAGAATACTTAACACACATCTAAATGCACGAAACACCATAAAAGCTGTAAACACATTCGCCATCCCAATTTTAACTTATTCATTCGGTATAATTCAATGGTCTAAAAGCAACCTAATAAATCTGCAACGTCTCATCAATAAAACTATGACTAAATACAGAAAAAACCACCCTAGATCTTGTAGCGAACGACTCACATTACCTAAAGTAGAAGGTGGAAGAGGTGTGATTGATATAAAAAATCTTCATAACTCTCAAATTTCAGCTATGCGAAACTTCTTTTATCAACAAGCCAATAATAGTCCGCTTCATAATGTTGTTGTTCAAGCCGATACTAAACTTACTCCTTTAAACCTCAAAGATCAAAGAAAACAGAAAAACGAAAGTATTGTCTCTGCACAGGATAAAATTAACAGCTGGTTGCAGAAGACGTTACATGGAAGACACCGCCGTGACTTGATGAACACAAACGTAGACAAGGTAGCGTCTAACATGTGGCTCAGGCGCGGAGATCTCTTCCCTGAAACGGAAGGCTTTATGTTAGCAATTCAGGACCAAACTATACACACACTAAACTACAGGAAACATATAATTAAAGACCACACTCTACAATCAGACCTTTGCAGACATTGTCATAATTGTTCAGAAACCATTCAGCATATCACTGGTGCCTGCAGCTCGATAACACAGACCGACTATAAACATAGACACGACCAAGTAGCTGCTATCATTCACCAGTATCTAGCATATAAATATAAACTTATAGATGAAAAAATAGCATATTATAAATACAAACCAGAAATCATACTTGACTCTCGCGATTTCAAACTCTACTGGGACAGAACTATATTAACTGATAAGACCGTGCATTATAATCGACCGGATATTACGCTACATGACAAAAGAAATGAATCAGTTTATCTCATAGATATTGCTATACCAAACACTCACAATTTGACCTCTACCTACAATGAAAAAATAGCCAAATATACTGATTTATCCATCGAAATAAAATCCCAGTGGAAAGTAAAAACTGTAAAAACTATACCTATTGTAATATCAGCAACTGGCGTCATTCCCCATTCACTCTTTTCTAGCTTAAAGGAGCTAGATATCCATAAGCTTATCTTTATATCACTACAGAAAGCCACAATATTGAATACCTGCAGAATAGTTCGTAAGTTCCTGTCTAAAAATTAAAACACTTAACCGATTTCGTTTGGTTTACAGCCCGCGAAAAAGGTATAATACCTCGGGAACGAGAGAATACTAAAAAATAAATAATAATAATAATAATAATAATAAAAAGGCGCAGGGAAGTACGACCCCCGCCCACGCTGACAACCCCACCTGCCAATGAGCGCCGCCAGGCAGTGGGTGCAAAGGCCGTTCTACGGCCGATACAACGAAACGGTGCCGGGCCTGGGCGTCTCCCGTTATTTGGCGCCCATAAAATGGATGATGGTACAAAGAGGAACGCGCATAGGGCCGCTGCCTGGGGGTCGCCGGGGCGCGTCTGGAGCTGGCGCTGGACGCGGCAGCATGCGGGCCGCCAGCCGAGCGCGAGGAGCTGCACGATCACCTAGCAGCCCTCCGCATCCATCATCCCCACCAGAAGGCTTGGTGTCGGCTGGGTCTTCTCGGACTCAGCAAGCGGCACCCGCCGCTGGTGGAGCACGTCGCATGCTTTGGTCACAAGAAATGAACGCAAACGCACTGCGGGCGTACTTTAGGGCAAAAGGGGAAGAAACTGGATGTGGTTGGCATATCGGGCTCGGATGCATCGTCTTTTTTGCAGAGCTGGAGCCATCTCTATCCGTCACAGAGCAAAACCTGGCAGACCGAGTTCGGTACATCCTGCGCTCCAAAATATTCGGTGACGCCGAACTCGAACGACTACGACGTGAGGCTGTTCCCTCATCGGATGGAAATGCTACGGCTGGGGATGCGGCGCCACAAATGGCGACAGCAAACTGCAAACGTGGACGCCGCCGTGAATATTCCATTTGTAGTTGATTCAGACGATGATGGAACAGTCCCCCACGAACTAGAGAAAATGAGGAGCATATTGGAAGAGTCGATGCTGGAAACGCGCAGCACGCCTCTCGAAAATCGACCGCGACTTCCCCGCATACCCCTAAGCAAGCGAAATCGGGCTGTCGTGCGGGCTCTTAACCCAATGCTGGTGACCTATTTGGAAGCCAGCCGGGACCTTTGCGAGACGGACTCATACTTTTTGGCGCCGCACTGGCAGTTTGCCGTATTATTGGCGCCAAACTTCCCATGGCTGGACGCGCTACTCAACAAGGTAGCGCCATCCCAGCCTGGAGAAAAAGAATCGAGGACCGTATCGCAAAGGCAAGGGCCCTTATCGGCAGACTGACAAGCTTCAGGTCGGGTAATAATAGACCGAGAGTTGTGCGCACCGTTAGAATGGCGTTTGCTGGGACAAATATCAGTTTGTCCCAGCCGGATATCACGCAGAAACTAACGGAGCGCATAGACGACCTGAAGCAAAAAATCGCTGCTTGGGGGAAGCGGATTCGCCGATTTACCGAGAGGTCAAGGCAGTTCAACCAGAATCGTCTCTTCCAGAGTGATCAGAAGAGGCTCTACAAATCATTGGAGCGACCCGAGGTATGTGAAGCGGGCTTAGGATCGGATCAGGCCGACACTGTCGCATTTTGGCGCGGCCTGTGGTCAGAGCCCGTAAACCACAGCGAGGGCCCTTGGACGGAAGTTGTGGCGAGTCAGAGTGCAAGTATTACGCCCATGGACCCCGTCACCATAACGCCTGATGACGTGGCTGAGGCGGTCCGTAGGGCCCCGAACTGGAAAAGTCCGGGGCTCGACGGACTGCATCACTACTGGCTGAAGGGGTTCATGGTGGTACGCCCGACCCGTCAGTATCAAGAGGCTCTCGATCAGAAGTCGCTCCCGAGCCTCTTCACTACTGGGATCACTCATTTGGTTCCTAAAGACCAGGATACCACAGACCCGAGCAAATACCGCCCCATTACGTGTCTACCCACCATATATAAGACACTGACATCCATTTTGAGCGCGAGAATCACTCGTCACCTGGAGCTAAATCAGGTGATGTCACGCGCTCAAAATGGATGTCGGGGCGGTGGTCGTGGAACCAAGGAACCACTCCTCATTGACGCGGTCATTGGCAAAGTGGTAAAACGCAACCGTCGGAACTTCTCAGCCGCCTGGATTGACTACAGAAAGGCATTCGACTCGGTGCCCCATACATGGCTAAAGAGAGTCCTCGAGCTGTACAAGATAGACTGTACAGTTAGAGACTTCCTCGAGCAGTGTATGGGGCAGTGGAGTACGATCCTCTGTCATCTGGGCGAGCGGATGACGGCTGCGGAGAACCACATAAGGATAACAAGGGGTATCTTCCAGGGCGATTGTCTGAGTCCAATCTGGTTCTGCCTCTCTCTGAACCCTCTCAGTACCTTACTGGAGGGCTCCGGGAGAGGATTTCAGCTACGGAAAGGAGGGACAAAAGTGACCCACCTTTTCTATATGGATGACCTCAAGTTATTCGCCTCCAGTCGCTCCCATTCTTATGGAATTGCTAAACATCACTTGTGAATTTAGCAATTCCATTGGAATGGAGCTGGGGACGGATAAGTGTGCGGTCCTTCATGTTGAAAGGGGAAGGGTTGCTAACTCTGAGGGCATAGATTTATCTATGCCCGTCAACTTAAGGACCCTTTCCGAGGCTGAAACATACCGATACCTGGGTATGTCACAGAACATCGGTATCGATGAGGCTGGTGTGAAACAGTCAGTTTGCGACGTGTTTTATGCACACTTGACCGAAGTGCTTAACAGCCTTTTGTCCGGTGTGAATAAGACACACGCATATAACGGCTGGGTCATGCCTGTCCTCATATATACCTTTGGCATACTCAGGTGGACTCAGACCGAACTTAACGCCCTGGATAGAAAAGTCCGCACTACCATGACGTCCCATAGGATGCATCATCCGAGATCGTCGGTAATGAGGCTGTACTTGCCGCGAAAGCATGGTGGGCGTGGCTTTATGAGCGCGCTCACCATGCATAATCGCGAAGTGTGCAGCCTCCGTGATTACTTCCTGGCGAGATCGGATGATCCATTCTATAATGACGTCATTTCTAGTGATAAAGGGCTTACCCCTCTATCCTTAGCCCACGAGCAATGGCAGGACCCAGCAGTGCTTAGCATTTCCGACCGGGAGACCGTATGGAAGGAGAAGGAGCTCCACGGGAGGTACTACAGGGCTCTACATGAGCCCTTCGTAGATACAGTCGCCTCCCTCAACTGGCTACGTTTCGGTGACCTCTTCGGGGAAACCGAGGGTTTTGTCTGTGCAATACAGGATCAGGTTATTAAGACCAACAACTATCGGAGATACATCCTAAAGGATGGCACCGTCGACGTCTGTCGAGCTTGTCGCCATCCCGGTGAGTCACTTAGGCATGTTATCTCCGGTTGTTCGGCGCTTTCTAACTCTGAGTACTTGCACAGGCACAACCTAGTAGCCAGAATTCTACACCAGGAGCTCGCTCTGAAATACGGTCTCGTGGACCGGAAATTGCCGTATTACAAGTACTTGCCGGAAGCCGTGCTCGAAAATGACCGCGCCAGGCTCTACTGGGACCGGGCCATCATCACAGACAGGACTATTCTTGCGAATAAGCCTGATATTGTGCTGATGGACCGGGCACAGTCAAGGATATTTTTGGTCGACATTACCATTCCGTATGACGAGAACCTCGTGAAAGCCGAAACAGACAAGCAAACAAAATATCTGGACCTGGCTCACGAGGTGACCGACATGTGGGGTGGTCTGCCGACCGAAATTATTCCTGTAGTCGTCTCTGCAAACGGGCTAATCCCAGTCAGCCTCTCGGGTCATCTGAGGCGACTGGGACTACGTGGCGGACCGCTCCGGGCTCAAATTCAGAAGGCGGTGCTCCTCGATACCGCCCGCATCGTCCGCCGGTTTCTTTCCCTTTCCCCCTAACCCTCGGCCGTTTGGTCTCCCCTGCCGAGGGCCTCCATCTGGTTGGGCTTTTATTTATTTAAGTATTTTTATATTTATTTTATGTTATTGATATTTATGTATATTTATCTTTTCATTCTCATTTATAATTATATATTTATAGAACCCAACCAGATGAGAAAACTATATAGATACCCCACAATAATAATAATAATAATAATAATAATAATAATAATGTGAATTTAGCAATTCCATTGGAATGGAGCTGGGGACGGATAAGTGTGCGGTCCTCCATGTTGAGAGGGGTAGGGTTGCTAACTCTGAGGGCATAGACTTATCTATGCCCGTCAACTTAAGGACCCTTTCCGAGGCTGAAACATACCGATACCTGGGTATGTCACAGAACATTGGTATCGATGAGGCTGGTATGAAACAGTCAGTTTACGACGTGTTTTATGCACGCTTGACCAAAGTGCTTAACAGCCTTTTGTCCGGTGTGAATAAGACACAAGCATATAACGGCTGGGTCATGCCTGTCCTCATGTATACCTTTGGCATACTCAGGTGGACTCAGACTGAACTTAACGCCCTGGATAGAAAAGTCCGCACTACCATGACGTCCCACAGGATGCATCATCCGAGATCGTCGGTAATGAGGCTGTACTTGTCGCGAAAGCATGGTGGGCGTGGCTTCTTGAGCGCGCTCACCATGCATAATCGCGAAGTGTGCAGCCTCCGTAATTACTTCCTGGCGAGATCGGATGATCCATTCTATAAGGACGTCATTTCTTGTGATAAAGGACTTACCCCTCTATCCTTAGCCAACGAGCAATGGCAAGACCCGGCAGTGCAGACAATTTCCGACCGGGAGACCGTATGGAAGGAGAAGGAGCTCCACGGGAGGTTCTACAAGTCTCTACATGGGCCTTTCGTAGACACAGTAACCTCTCTCCACTGGCTACGCTTTGGTGACCTCTTCGGGGGAAACCGAGGGTTTTGTCTGTGCAATACAGGATCAGGTTATTAAGACCAACAACTATCGGAGATACATCCTAAAGGATGGCACCATCGACATCTGTCGAGCTTGTCGCCATCCCGGTGAGTCACTTAGGCATGTCATCTCCGGTTGTTCGGCGCTTTCTAACTCTGAGTACTTGCACAGGCACAACCTAGTAGCCAGAATTCTACACCAGGAGCTCGCTCTGAAATACGGTTTCGTGGATCGGAAGTTGCCGTATTACAAGTACTTGCCGGAAGCCGTGCTCGAAAATGATCGCGCCAGGCTCTATTGGGACCGGGCCATCATCACAGACAGGACTATTCTTGCGAATAAGCCTGATATTGTGCTGATGGACCGGGCACAGTCAAGGATATTTTTGGTCGACATTACCATTCCGTGTGACGAGAACCTCGTGAAAGCCGAAACAGATAAGCAAACAAAATATCTGGACCTGGCTCACGAGGTGACCGACATGTGGGGTGGTCTGCCGACCGAAATTATTCCTGTAGTCGTCTCTGCAAACGGGCTAATTCCAGTCAGCCTCTCGGGTCATCTGAGGCGGCTGGGACTACGTGGCGGACCGCTCCAGGCTCAAATGCAGAAGGCGGTGCTCCTCGATACCGCCCGCATCGTCCGCCGGTTTCTTTCCCTTTCCCCCTAACCCTCGGCCGTTTGGTCTCCCCTGCCGAGGGCTTCCATCTGGTTGAGCTTTTATTTATTTATGTATTTTCCTATTTATTTTATTTTATTGATATTTTTGTATATTTGTCTTTTCATTTTCGTTTATAATTATATATTTATACATCCCAACCAGATGAGAAAACTATATAGATACCCCACACATAATAATAATTTATTTTTCTCTCCACATTAAATTAACAATATCGAATTTTGACAAAATAAAAGGCACAAATTAATGTGAGAGACTGATGCCTAAACTAGGCGACGAACCTGTATTTCAGGTCATCAGGCCTCCTCCCAGTTAAACAAATACAAAAGTATGTTATCTTGGAATACATATTTTAACAATAATGCTACGTTACAATACCTTTGCGCGTATATACATAATTTAACAATGCTACGTGTGTGTGTGTGTGTGTGTGTGTGTGTGTGTGTGTGTGTGTGTGTGTGTGTGTGTGTGTGTGTGTGTGTGTGTGTGTGTGTGTGTGTGTGTGTGTGTGTGTGTGTGTGTGTGTGTGTGTGTGTGTGTGTGTGTGTGTGTGTGTGTGTGTGTGTGTGTGTGTGTGTGTGTGTGTGTGTGTGTGTGTGTGTGTGTGTGTGTGTGTGTGTGTGTGTGTGTGTGTGTGTGTGTGTGTGTGTGTGTGTGTGTGTGTGTGTGTGTGTGTGTGTGTGTGTGTGTGTGTGTGTGTGTGTGTGTGTGTGTGTGTGTGTGTGTGTGTGTGTGTGTGTGTGTGTGTGTGTGTGTGTGTGTGTGTGTGTGTGTGTGTGTGTGTGTGTGTGTGTGTGTGTGTGTGTGTGTGTGTGTGTGTGTGTGTGTGTGTGTGTGTGTGTGTGTGTGTGTGTGTGTGTGTGTGTGTGTGTGTGTGTGTGTGTGTGTGTGTGTGTGTGTGTGTGTGTGTGTGTGTGTGTGTGTGTGTGTGTGTGTGTGTGTGTGTGTGTGTGTGTGTGTGTGTGTGTGTGTGTGTGTGTGTGTGTGTGTGTGTGTGTGTGTGTGTGTGTGTGTGTGTGTGTGTGTGTGTGTGTGTGTGTGTGTGTGTGTGTGTGTGTGTGTGTGTGTGTGTGTGTGTGTGTGTGTGTGTGTGTGTGTGTGTGTGTGTGTGTGTGTGTGTGTGTGTGTGTGTGTGTGTGTGTGTGTGTGTGTGTGTGTGTGTGTGTGTGTGTGTGTGTGTGTGTGTGTGTGTGTGTGTGTGTGTGTGTGTGTGTGTGTGTGTGTGTGTGTGTGTGTGTGTGTGTGTGTGTGTGTGTGTGTGTGTGTGTGTGTGTGTGTGTGTGTGTGTGTGTGTGTGTGTGTGTGTGTGTGTGTGTGTGTGTGTGTGTGTGTGTGTGTGTGTGTGTGTGTGTGTGTGTGTGTGTGTGTGTGTGTGTGTGTGTGTGTGTGTGTGTGTGTGTGTGTGTGTGTGTGTGTGTGTGTGTGTGTGTGTGTGTGTGTGTGTGTGTGTGTGTGTGTGTGTGTGTGTGTGTGTGTGTGTGTGTGTGTGTGTGTGTGTGTGTGTGTGTGTGTGTGTGTGTGTGTGTGTGTGTGTGTGCGTGCGTGCGTGTGTGCGTGCGTGCGTGCGCGTGCGTGCGTGCGTGCGTGCGCGCGCGCGCTGCGGCGTGCGCGCGCGTGCGTGCGGCGCGCGTGCGCGCGCGCGTGCGTGCGTGCGATGCGTGCGCGCGCATGCGCGCGCGCGCGCGTGCGTGGCAGTGCGGCGTGCGTGCGTGCAAGCGCGCGCGCGCGTGCGCGCGCGCGCGCGTGCGCGCGGCGCGCGGGCGCGTGCGGCGCGCGCTGCGCGTGCGCGCGGCAAGTGGTGCATGCGGTGCGCGCGTGCGTCGTCGTGCGCGCGCGCGTGCGTGCGTGCGTGCGTGCGTGGTGCGGTGCGTCGCGCGGGCGGCGCGCCGCGCGCGCGCCGCGCGCAAGGCGCCGCGCGCGGCGCGGCGCGCGCGGCGCGCGCGCGCAGCGGCGGCGCGCGCGCGCGGCCGGCGCAAGCGACAAGGCAAGGGCGGCCGGCGGGCGCACGGCGCGCGGCGCGCGCGCGGCGCGCGCGTGCGCGCGCGCGCGCGCGCGCGCGCGCGCGCGCGCGCGCGCGCGCGGCGCGCGCGCGCGCGCGCGCGCGCGCGCGCGCGCGCGCGCGCGTCGCGCGCGCGCGCGGCAGGCGCGCGCGCGGCGGCGCTGCGCGCGCCGCGCGCGCGCGCGCGCGGCGCGCGCGCGCGCGCGCGCGGCGGCGCGCGCGCGGGCGCGGCAGCGCGCGCGCCGGCGGCGTGCGCGCGCGCGCAAGGCGCGCGCGCGCGGCGTGCCGCCGCGCGCGCGCAAGGCAGGCGCGCGCGCGGCGCGCGCGCGCGCGGCGCGCGCGAAGGCGCGCGCGCGCGTGCGCTGCGCGCGGCAGCGCGCGGCGCGGCAAGGCAGCAAGGCATGCGCAAGGCAAGGCGAGCAAGGCAAGGCAGTGCGGCGCGAGCGCCGGCAAGGGCGTACGGCGGCGGGCATGCAGGCAGCAAGCAAGGGGCAAGAGCAGCAAGCGGCAGCAGGAAGGCGGCGGCAAGGCAAGGCAAGAGCGGCGGCGCGCGGCGGCGAGCCCTGGTGGGGTGCCGGTTGGGTGGGGGGTGGTGTGTGTGTGTGTGTGTGTGTGTGTGTGTGTGTGTTGTGTGTGTGTGTGTGTGTGTGTGTGTGTGTGTGTGTGTGTGTGTGTGTGTGTGTGTGTGTGTGTGTGTGTGTGTGTGTGTGTGTGTGTGTGTGTGTGTGTGTGTGTGTGTGTGTGTGTGTGTGTGTGTGTGTGTGTGTGTGTGTGTGTGTGTGTGTGTGTGTGTGTGTGTGTGTGTGTGTGTGTGTGTGTGTGTGTGTGTGTGTGTGTGTGTGTGTGTGTGTGTGTGTGTGTGTGTGTGTGTGTGTGTGTGTGTGTGTGTGTGTGTGTGTGTGTGTGTGTGTGTGTGTGTGTGTGTGTGTGTGTGTGTGTGTGTGTGTGTGTGTGTGTGTGTGTGTGTGTGTGTGTGTGTGTGTGTGTGTGTGTGTGTGTGTGTGTGTGTGTGTGTGTGTGTGTGTGTGTGTGTGTGTGTGTGTGTGTGTGTGTGTGTGTGTGTGTGTGTGTGTGTGTGTGTGTGTGTGTGTGTGTGTGTGTGTGTGTGTGTGTGTGTGTGTGTGTGTGTGTGTGTGTGTGTGTGTGTGTGTGTGTGTGTGTGTGTGTGTGTGTGTGTGTGTGTGTGTGTGCGTGCGTGTGCGTGTGCGTGTGCTGAGTGAATGCAAAAATTACATTACATTTACACATGTGATTTAAAAATATCTTCCGTATATTTATAATCCGTCTTCAGTAACCATTCATGGATACATTTTTTAGCTTTTATTTTAGGTAGGAAGTGAATATTAAGTTCCTTGTTAACTTTATTATACAGGTATCCGCCAAGATAGCAAAAAAATCTTCTGGAAAAGTAGGTACAATGGTCATAATGAGAAGTACACACTCGGTCTTTGCGTCTCGTGTGCTGTGTATTTTTTTGGTCATATTTTAATTGTGCATGTTTTTTTAGTACTGTGTATATAATAAACAGTTGCCGGACTGTAAGAACTTTGGAAATTTTATAAAGTTGACTGGTTGGAAATTTAAATGGAAGAGAGTTACTAGGAAATTTAAATGGAAGAGACTGATCGAATGAATATATTTTTGCTACTATGCAAATTCTGTGCCTAACGCACGCAACCTGCAAGGTCACTCGTCGCGAATCACTATTTAATAAATCGCTCGGAAGAAATAGGTAGGTAGTGTAAACAACAAATAAACCCGAAATACGATTCCTAAATGAAATGTGATTGTATTCTAATTAGTTAAAAATCTTGTAAACAAAGTTTTAATTTCAGTGCTTTGTGATAACTTAAAATATTTTAATTACAAAAGACATGTAAGCTACCTACTTAGATAGTGAAGTAAATTTCAACTAAGTTTTGAAGTAAAGTACTTAGGTATTACTTCTGTATTTAAATTACTACTTAATTCTTTATTGCTATAAGTATTTATTTAAAAAAAATTAATAAATGTATCTTTCTTATCCTTAGGTAACATAAAAAATGATATCTGAATCCTTTTGTTTGCTCATTAGGCATCCATCCACGCATCAATTATAATAGGTTCGAAGTTTTGCCATTATAATCTATGGAATAGATAGGTAATTATTTATATATTATTTTTAAACCACATTAAAAAATTTTGAACTATTTTATCCTACAATTAAATATACTAAACACTAAACAAAAATTACAACAAGTGTTTACAAAAACTATTCACGTAAACAGCGTTAATATTCATCAATCGCCTACAACGCGCTAGCCCTGCACCCTGGGTGATTCGCGATTTTAGATAATTATTTCATGCAGGTAGCAAAAGTGACAGAGGCCTACTTATGGGTACATTAGCAGCTATATTCATCCCGACTTCAGCAGTGGACACGAACAAAAGGAAGCAATTTTTCTAAATGAAGATGTAGATATGTAGGTATTACAACCATAAATAGATAATAATAATAATAAAGAAAGGCGTAGGGAATTGACGACCCCATCGCCCGCTGACGTAACAGTTAAGTGACAAAACTGCTACGTCAACGCAGTCAGTCAGCGCCTTGCGAGAGGTGTGAGCGCCGTGCCGCGGCAGAATTTAGGGTGCAGAGGCCCGTTTGTGCTTATGGCTACACACGAAACGGTGCCGGGCCTGGGCGTCTCCCGTTAATGGACGCCCAAATAATGGATGATGGATAAAAAGATAGTGCGCAAAGGGCCGCTGCCTGGGGGTCGCCGGGGCGCGTCTGGAGCTGGCGCTGGACGCGGCAGCATGCGGGCCGCCAGCCGAGCGCGAGGAGCTGCACGGTCATCTACCAGCCCTCCGCATCCATCATCCCCACCAGAAGGCTTGGTGTCGGCTGGGTCTTCTCGGACTCAGCAAGCGGCACCCGCCGCTGGTGGAGCACGTCGCATGCGTTGGTCACAAGAAATGAATGCAAACGCACTGCGGGCGTACTTTAGGGCAAAAGGGGAAGAAACTGGATGTTTGGCGTATCGGGCTAGGATGCATCGTCTTTTTGCTGAGCTGGAGCCATCTTTAATCGTCACAGAGCAAAACCTGGCAGACCGAGTTCGGTATATCTTGCGCTCAAATATATTTGATGTCGCCGAACTCGAACGGCTACGACGTGAGGCTGTTCCCTCGTCGGATGAGAATGCTACGGCTGAGGATGCGGCGCCACAAATGGTAGAGCAACCCGCAAACGTGGATGCCGCCGTGAATACCCCAGTTGTGGTTGATTCAAACGATGATGGAACAGTCGCCCAGGAACTGGAATTAGAGCATATGAGGAGTATATTGGAAGAGGCGATTGTGGAAACGCGCAGTACGCCTCTCGAAAATCGACCGCGACTTCCCCGCATAGCCCTAAGCAAGCGGAATCGGGCTGTCGTGAGGGCTCTGAACCCAATGCTGGTTACCTATTTGGAAGCCAGCCGGGACCTTTGCGAGACGGACTCAATTCTTTTGGCGCCGCGCTGGCAGTCTGCCGTATCATAGGCGCCAAGGTTTCCACGGCTGGACGCGCTACTGGCCATAGTAGCGCTATCCCAGCATGGAGAAGAAGAATTGAGGAACGTATCGCAAAGGCTAGAGCTCTCATCGGCAGACTGATATGCTTCAGATCAGGCAACAACAGGCCAAGAATTGTGCGCACCGTCAGGATGGCGTTTGCTGGGACAAATGTCAGTTTGTCCCAGCCGGATATAACGCAAAAACTGACGGAGCGCATAGATGATCTGAAGCAGAGAATCGCTGCTTGGGGAAAGCGGATTCGGCGATATACCGAGAGGTCGACACGGTTCAACCAGAATCGTCTCTTCCAGAGTGATCAGAAGAGGCTCTATGAATCATTGGAGCGACCAATGGTAAGTGGAACGGGTCCAGCACCGGATCAGGCCGACACTGTAGCATTCTGGCGCGGCCTGTGGTCAGAGCCCGTAAACCACAGCGAGGGCCCTTGGACGGAAGTTGTGGCGAGTCAGTGTGCGGGTATTACGCCCATGGACCCCGTCATCATAACGCCGGATGACGTAGCTGAGGCGGTTCGTAGGGCCCCGAACTGGAAAAGTCCGGGGCTTGACGGGCTGCATCACTACTGGCTGAAGGGGTTCATGGTGTGTCACTCTGTGCTCGCCCGACAGTTTCAAGAGGCTCTCAACCAGAAGTCGCTCCCAAGCCTCTTCACTACTGGGATCACTCATTTAGTTCCTAAAGACCAGGGTACCACAGACCCGAGCAAATACCGCCCCATCACGTGTCTACCGACCATATACAAGACACTAACATCCATTTTGAGCGCGAGAATCACTTGTCACCTGGACTCAAATCAGGTGATGTCGCGCGCTCAAAATGGATGTCGGGGCGGTGGTCGTGGAACCAAGGAACCACTCCTCATTGACGCGGTCATTGGCAAAGTGGTGAAACGCAACCGTCGGAACTTCTCCGCCGCCTGGATAGACTACAGACAGGCATTCGACTCGGTGCCCCATACATGGCTAAAGAGAGTCCTCGAGCTGTACAAGATAGACTGTACAGTTAGAGACTTCCTCGAGCAGTGTATGGGGCAGTGGAGTACGATCCTTTGTTATCTAGGCGAGCGGATGATGGCTGCGGAGAACCACATAAGGATAAGAAGGGGTATCTTCCAGGGCGATTGTCTGAGTCCAATCTGCTTCTGCCTCTCTCTGAACCCTCTCAGTACCTTACTGGAGGGCTCCGGGAGGGGATTTCAGCTACGGAAAGGAGGGACAAAAGTGACCCACCTTTTCTATATGGATGACCTCAAGTTATTCGCCTCCAGTCGCTCCCATCTTATGAATTTAACATCACAGCAATTCCATTGGAATGGGGCTGGGGACGGATAAGTGTGCGGTCCTCCATGTTAAAAGGGGAAGGGTTGCTAACTCTGAGGGCATAGACTTATCTATGCCCGTCAACTTAAGGACCCTTTCCGAGGCTGAAACATACCGATACCTGGGTATGTCACAGAACATCGGTATCGATGAGGCTGGTATGAAACAGTCAGTTTGCGACGTGTTTTATGCACGCTTGACCAAAGTGCTTAACAGCCTTTTGTCCGGTGTGAATAAGACACACGCATATAACGGCTGGGTCATGCCTGTCCTCATGTATACCTTTGGCATACTCAGGTCCACGGACAGGACTCAGACTGAGCTTAACAAGCTGGATAGAAAAGTCCGCACTACTATGACGTCCCATAGGATGCATCATCCGAGATCGTCGGTAATGAGGCTGTACTTGCCGCGAAAGCATGGTGGGCGTGGCTTCTTGAGCGCGCTCACCATGCATAATCGCGAAGTGTGCAGCCTCCGTGATTACTTCCTGGCGAGATCGGATGATCCATTCTATAATGACGTCATTTCTTGTGATAAAGGGCTTACCCCTCTATCCTTAGCCCACGAGCAATGGCAAGACCCGGCAGTGCTGAGCATTTCCGACCGGGAGACCGTATGGAAGGAGAAGGAGCTCCACGGGAGGTTCTACAGGGCTCTACATGAGCCCTTCGTAGACACAGTCGCCTCCCTCCACTGGCTACGCTTCGGTGACCTCTTCGGGGGAAACCGAGGGTTTTGTCTGTGCAATACAGGATCAGGTTATTAAGACCAACAACTATCGGAGATACATCCTAAAGGATGGCACCGTCGACATCTGTCGAGCTTGTCGCCATCCCGGTGAGTCACTTAGGCATGTCATCTCCGGTTGTTCGGCGCTTTCTAACTCTGAGTACTTGCACAGGCACAACCTAGTAGCCAGAATTCTACACCAGGAGCTCGCTCTGAAATACGGTCTCGTGGACCGGAAATTGCCGTATTACAAGTACTTGCCGGAAGCTGTGCTCGAAAATGACCGCGCCAGGCTCTATTGGGACCGGGCCATCATCACAGACAGGACTATTCTTGCGAATAAGCCTTATATTGTGCTGATGGACCGGGCACAGTCAAGGATATTTTTGGTCGACATTACCATTCCGTATGACGAGAACCTCGTGAAAGCCGAAACAGACAAGCAAACAAAATATCTGGACCTGGCTCACGAGGTGACCGACATGTGGGGTGGTCTGCCGACCGAAATTATTCCTGTAGTCGTCTCTGCAAACGGGCTAATCCCAGTCAGCCTCTCGGGTCATCTGAGGCGGCTGGGACTACGTGGCGGACCGCTCCAGGTTCAAATGCAGAAGGCGGTGCTCCTCGATACCGCCCGCATCGTCCGCCGGTTTCTTTCCCTTTCCCCCTAACCCTCGGCCGTTTGGTCTCCCCTGCCGAGGGCCTCCATCTGGTTGGGCTTTTATTTATTTATGTACTTTTATATTTATTTTATGTTATTGATATATATGTATATTTGTCTTTTCATTTTCATTTATAATTATATATTTATAGCACCCAACCAGATGAGAAAACTATATAGATACCCCACAAATAATAATAAAGCTTTTTATTTGTCTCAGTTTACACATGTTATTAAAAAAATACAAATAGAAATCATTACAAACCTAACTTAGAAACATACAGTAACATAACAGTAATGAGACAAACTGGCCTGTGACTCAGCTATGTGGTGATTTTAGGTCACCGCTGGTATTCTGCCACAGCCGACTATTTTAAAAACACAGTATATTAACCTAATTTTGGCATTGAAGTAATACAACTAAAGAATAGACTAAGATGTTTATTCATATGTGCTATGCAAATTTAGTAAGTAGTAGGTAAAGGAGACAATCGCCTCTGGGCCTACCAGAAACTTCAACGACTCTCAATGGTATTAGTAAGAATTAAGTCTGTAGTTATATATAATACTTCATACCTGCCTCCAACTTTTGTTGTTCAAGTAACCATACTTTACATTTCTTTCTAAATAAATTTGTATTTACGATCTCCTGCAAAGGAGGAGGTATATTGTTCCAAATTTTGGAGGCAGCATATTTGAAACATCCTTTTGCTTTAACACGCTTATAAGTTGGAAGAATATATAATAGTTTACCCCTTCGTCTCAAACGTGTTAGTCGACATTTTGGAGATAATTTTTCATATAAATAATGAGGACATTGCGAATTATTTAATGAGTGTACGAAACAAGCATATTTTAATTTTCTGGTGTAACTCATACTTAAAATATTATTTTTGAGGAGATAAGGAGTTATGTGGTTAGCCCTAGGTATGTCAGAACAATAGCGCATACACGCATTTTGAACCCTTTGAATTCTCCCTATGGTTTTCTGAGAGAGGCAGGGACCATATACCAAGGTCCCTGCCTCTCAAAAACCAAAAATGCAAATGTGACAAGACAAGACTATTACAAAGACGGAGTCGGATGTTTGGTTTCAGAAAAGAACGAATGAAAATTTAAAGACCCAAAACATTTTCCTATTTTTTGTTGTACGTGTTGTACAAACGTTAAACCTTCATCCATATTAAGGCCCAAGTTACGAATGCAATTATTTCTAGGTATGGTTGCGTCTTTGATCATGACAGTTGGGTCAATTTTTTTGATAGATGCAACCTGATGATGTGTACCCATAATTATACATGTACTTTTTTTGGGATTCGGAAGCAAGCCATGAGACTTTGACCAATGCTCTATTAATTTTAGATCATTATTTAAGCTGGTAACCGCTGTTGTAATACTGTCTTTTGTTGGTGCCATATGGACGTACAACTGAGTGTCATCGGCATATAGGTGATATTTGGAGTGCTGAACTACGTTTTTTATGTCTGTTGTGTATAAGGCGAAGAGTGTTGGGCCAAGAATAGAACCTTGAATAACGCCTTTAGAAATTGATAGTGGCTCCGAAATATCAATATTACCTTCAGTATTGGTGCATTTTACTTTTTGACTCCGCCCGTAGAAGTATGATTGAAACCACGAACATGCTGTTTCGGAAAAACCAAAGATTTTTAATTTTGCCAGTAAAAGTGGTATATTAACGCAGTCGAAAGCTCGAGAAAAATCAAGTAGCACTAAAATGGTACCTTTTCCATTATCAGCGGCGGTAAGAATATCGTCAGTGATGTGTAATAATGCTGTAGTTGTGCTAAATTTTTGCCGGAAACCCGATTGGAAGACTGAAAGAATGGCATTGTTTTTAAGATAGCTAGTAATTTGTGACTGTGCACACTTCTCAACTATTTTTGACAAGGCAGGCAATATGCTTATTGGCCTGAGGTCATCAAAGCTGTCTATTTTCTGTTTCTTAGGTATAAGTATGATCAATGAGCACTTCCAGACATCGGCAAATACTCCTTCTAACAATGATTTATTAACGATGGCTTCAATAGCAACTAAAGAGTATGGTAATGTAAGCTTAATCATATTCATGCAAATTTCATCACATCCTTTAGAGTTAGAAGAAAAGGAATTAATAATCTTCTGTAGCTCTGATGCACTCACTCTATTAAAATTGAACTCCGATAAGTTATTCCTACGAGTACTTTCAAAATTTTCGAACTGTTTTAAGTCAACCGACAACACAGGAACACTATTTATGAAATGTGTATTAAGTTTTGTGGCATCCAAAAGATGTTCAGGAATTGATTTACTAGAACCGTTCTTAATTGTTTTATTAATGTGCCGCCACATTAAAGACGGATTATTAATATTATTATTTACAAATTGGGTAAAATATGCCTGTTTCTCAACACGAACAGCACAATTATATATGTTGCGCATGTCCTGGTAAAATTTAATAGCTGATTCGGAATTACATTTTTTAGCTTCCCGGCAAGCTTTATTACGAATATTTCTCATGTTCATAAGAGTATTAGTCATCCATGGAGATGGGGGGATTTTTAAATTTACGTGTAACTACCGGTGCAAAAGTATCTATTAGGTCTAAAATAAGAAAATTGAATAAATTAACCATATCATTAAGTTCATTATACTCCAGTATGAGTTCCCAAGGAGTGAATGCAGATGCTTTCTTAATATATTCGGCATTATCTGTCAGTGGTCTGTATTGCACGGTACGGGGTTTTCTATTAGGGACACTAATAGGAAATATCGCTGTTACTAGTCCATGATCACTTAAGTCATCATTATGTACAACATCTACCGATGTGGGCTGCAAATTAACTCTAGTAAATATGACATCAATAAGTGTCGAAGTATGTGGCGTTATACGCGTCGGTAAATTAACAATTTGATGTAGCTTATAAGAGTTAGTAAGAACTTCGAAACACTTAGGCAGAGTTACATGATTGTTACGATCTATACAGTTTATATTAATATCACCGACAACAA